TCTGTGTCGGGTTCACAATACGGCACCGCTATTAATATCTGACGAGCATTAACGCACTAATACGGGCTGGGTATCATAAATATGATCGCTAACTAGCCCGGCAACGTGTAATTACCGGTGCGGAGGTGTTGGTTCGGCCCCAGACCCATGGTGCAGTCCGCCGGAGCTCACGATCGATGTGTGTGTTTAGATTTCGAGCGAAGAACATTCGGCACTATATCCAACTGTTAAAGGCACAATCATACTAAAAATGTATAAAAAATAAATAATAATAAATAAAATCGTCTTAAATATAGAATGAATAAAAAAGCTTCAAATTTATTTAAATGTAAAAATGATCTTGAAACATCTTATAGGATACGACTAGAATTTATGAAAGAAATTCAGCTACAACAAGAATATTTTAATCATAAATACATTCTCATTAATTAATGCTCCCCAACAATCTTTTTTATCATCATAAATTTTTTTATTTATACAAAAAGTTGTGTTGGTGTGAACGTAACTTAAGGTAAACGTGAGGTCGTTTGGAGAGGCGAGCACGAGAGCTTATCATCTGCGGTAATTTCTTAACAAATACGCGCCGTTTCGACACCATTAGGCCCGGACGGTCATCGAGGCCTGGTTTCCGCCCTCACCGAAGCTCCATGGTCGAAGAGAGCCCCAAGGGTCCGTCGACGGTGGTAAATCAGACATTCGAGATGTAACTTACGGGTAACGAGAATGCGAGAACGCTTAATAAGTGTCCGGTTGATATAAACGGCCGTAAAGAACGCGGATTCCCGGCGCGGAAAAGAGAGAATACTTGGCGTAATTTCCGCTAAATTATGTAGTACTTACGCTTTTCGACGACTTTTTGTAATGAGCCGATCGTAAATCCGATCGATACGGTCGAACCGTCACTAGATTTACGACGTTTTAGAATCCAAAGAAAATCGATATGGTTATTAATCTATACCTTTATTAAAAGGTTTAAAGGTATTCTAGTCAATTTGCGATTTAAACGATGTAGTAGCAATGTTCAAACATTTCTTTATTAGAATCGCAGAAGATCAGTCGCATCTAATTTGGTATATAAATCATGTTTTAATCCATAAAAGTCCGTTCAAATATTTGTATTTAATTTAAAACATTTTTTGGCTTTAGCACAGTTTCTTTTTTGATAGATATTTAAACACAGTTAGAAATACAGAGAATTACTTAAAGTTATGGATAAAACTTATGCACAGGAATCTACGTTTAATTAGATTGTTTGTATTAGTAAGAGTTTTCAAATGTAATAACGAATGAACTACAAATTTATAAAATGTTGAAGATGGATGCTGTATATTCAATAAGACCATCGTTAAAAATTAATTTAGATAAATTAAAAACAAGGATATAAAGTAACAATAAAATGTAAAGTTGAAGTGGATCACGGCAACAACTCTATTCCGAATGTAATAAGCATTTAAAAAAAGTATTTATTTTCTAGAATGAGATGATATAAATAGAGCGTTGAAATATTTATGTATATGTAGCTTTTATATAAAACAACTACCATCACTTCCAAGGATTAATTCTATTATTCCCGAAAAATCGTGTTTAATCGGCTCATTCCGATTCAATTCAAATACATAAACTCAAAATAGCAATAGTGGTAGTAACGAAGTTGTTTGAAAAGCACTCAAGTGTTACGAAATAAGTTTGAAAATAGGAGATGTAAAGTTAGAAGTTAGAGAATTAACGTCTCTATAAACCCATGGTACATATATCTATCTTTTCAAATCTTTTAGATACTCAAGAATTTATCAAGATTCGATTTTTTGAGTTAGTAGGCTATAAAATAAGATACTACAACCCAAAATAGTGTTAATGAAGCTATTGGATGAAAGAATCTAATAGCTTCCTATAATTATAAAAGATTTAATTATGTTTTCTTGAATAATTTCCATCGTAAAATGCTGTAAACCTGAGTTTGTGGACAAGACGTATATTTTGGTCCATAATTGCGAACTCACCCGTATTAAGACTTATGTTAAAATTTCATCATTTAGTTTTCATTGGCGCACAAATATTGTATTAAATGCAAATTTTATTGTATGTGTATTAAAAATAATAATAAAATAAGAAATTTAGTTTTTCTGCGTTTTAACAAATATATACATATTAGCATTATTGCGGGTTTAGAAAGTAACCATGTCCGGTGGTTGTAGCTTGCAGAGAATTGGCGGTGTAGTACAGAAACTGAATATGTCTAAGACATGTTCAAAAGCTTTTCAAGACTCTCGCCGGAATGCCTACAGTATCGTTTGAATTATTTCAACAATTTTAAGAATAAAATCGAATAAGATATTTACTTACAAGAATTGATTGCAGTTGTAAATCTACAAAGAGGCGAAGTAGGTGGAATGTTGCCAATAACAAAATATATTAGATTAAATAGTTTCTGTGTGTAAGTCATGAAAAAAATGCAGGAGGTTTATAAAAATATTTTCGTTGCAAACATATAAGTCAAAAAATGAGGCTTTCACCTTACCAAAATTGTCTAATTCACTGTAAGGTTCTTTAGTTAATTATATATAAATTTCATTGAAAAAAATTTCGGTAATTATTCGAATTATTATTTTGTTATGGTAATGTATTATTTTGTTATGTTTCTATTGTCTTGTTTATAATAAACTTAGGTTGCTGTGCAATTGTTCTAATTTCATTTTTGTATCTATGTCCTACTGGTGCAACAAAGATGAGGTAAACATCGATTTATTTTGTATTTTTGCACAAAATTGGTTATACATGAAATTCTAACGAGTTTATCTTAAACAATAAGTGGAATTAATATAAACGTGTATGTAACATATAAATGAAACACAACCAGAAGGAAGGACACCTTTACACGTTCCTTCTGGTTGTGTTTCATTTATAGAGTTTATCTTAGTTTTTAACTTTGTAGCAAATTTAACACACTCAACAATTATTAACAATCTATATCAATATCTATATCAATGACAAGAAAGTTTAAATCTTACAGAGTAACTTGATCGTTAAAAATTGTTCCAATTATTATGTTTTATAGAATGTTGGCTAAATTTAGCAGGGTCTTATAAATACTGCGTTATGCGGACGACGCTAGTTTATTATTAGAAGGTGACGACGATTTACAGCGGGTTTTATACAGGTTTATCGCTACTACAATCTTTAGTTCTTGAGAAAAACATAATCAAAGGTCCTCTTTAAGGAACCAATCCTGCAGTAGAAACTTCTTTCTTTGACAGAAATCTTACAAATGAAGTAAGAAAACAAACAAACAAAGCTAACCCGCTAATCTGCATATACATATAAAAGACATGCTAATCCAAATATACAAAACCTGTGTAAAACAAAACAAATAATAAGATCGGCCGAAATAAAGACACTCAGAACAATGCATAATTATACGAGGAGCAGCACAATAAGAGATGAATGTGAATTGCGCATGGAGTGTAATGGGTTCGTTCTAGGCTACATGCATGTACATAGGATGTCTTCAAATGGACCATGCTAGAAAAACTAGACACCTAATGAGCCCCTGATAGACCATCTAAACGGATGTATGAAAGTTGGTCGTCAGGATCGCAATAGGCATAAATGTAGAAAAACAGAACATCGTCCTATTAGAAGAGCATGAAGAAAATACTTTAGATAAAACCGCTTTGGTGTCTAATGGTTATGGGTTTGATTTTGTTGGATTAGATTTATGTTTGTATTTATCATTTATATTTTTATTTTTTTCCAACATTATACTTCTTTAAAGGTATCTAACATTTTTTCTCAATGTTTTATCTTTGGGGGTAATAAAGAAAATAAAAACGTCTGTTTTAGTTGCCAACAGGAATGATTGAAGAAGAAACGAAGTACAAGTTGGTTGCCCAAGAAGTCGACTCATTTTACTAGGTCTAATCATGTTACAGCATTTTCTAGACATCAAGGATTATGTATGTTTATATGAAATATAAGAATTTCATATAAATATATAAAATATATTCCATTCAATTAACAAATAAAAGCATTAACGCTAATCATTTTATAGGATTCCTCTTCTAGAAAGGATCAAAGATTGTTAATGGCAAATCTACATTGAAATGGCAAAAGGGTGCAGATGAAAATACACTCATAGTGTCCAATGGAATACAGAAAAATATGATTTTATATATATTTATATTCCCTGGCAATTTGCCAACAATGGGTAATGTGTTACCGCTTGAATCTTTTTTGATCCTTGTTTGACAACTTCTCGTAAAAAGGTATGTTATAGATGAGGGTGGCAATAATCTAAATGCAGCACCATACTGTCTTCGGTTTTATGTCATCATCGTGTGTACTAGGTCCAGTGTGTTACAATCAATGCTGGGTTATGCAGAATTTTTACTACTCTACGAAAAATAAATACATACAGTACATATATCCTTTCATAATCGTCGTACTAATTGACCCCGAAACAGTTATCTGTGATGACATCTGTTTTTCAATGTTCTACTAGACATTGAATGAAAATATTCCTTCTCGGTTTTCATACTCATCGCTCATAATAAATCCTTTCTTGGTAAAATTGTTTATCAGTTTCAACAACAAATACGAAGAACGAAATTCACAAATACGGAAATTCTTCGATATTTCCAATTTCTGTAAGAAATTGATTTTCGTTTCTCTTTTAATAATTTCAAGTTGGTTAGAGTTTCTGATCAATTTAGTTTCCTTTACATTCCACTAGATAATTCCATCTGCTCATTAGTTTAGCCCATTCCTTTCTGTAGTTAAGAGTAATACGGACACCAATGATTTGGATAATCTAACTGCCATAACGTATGTTCCGCTTTTTTTGATACTTTTTGTGTTTAATGTTGACCTTGAAATCTCTGTATTATTTTAACACTGTATATACCATAATACTCCTATTTAGTTATATATTATTGATAAATCAAAAAAGAAACAATCTAATCCTAACATTTTTTTAACGCGTTTTTTATTAATAGATATCTATATACTTATTCCCTTATCTATACTCGTAATAAAAGTAATAAAATTACAAAATAATGATAACTTGAAAACGTGTACTTATTATTTTAGTGGAAAAAATCATCTGGTAAGTCTATTTTTTTTAATATGGCGTTATTCTTCATATTGTACAATTGTATCAACATGAAGAATTCAAATTTGCCTCAAGCGCCATATTAAAAAAAAATAGACTTATGACCTTTTGCCCCGGCAGTAGCGAATTGCTCAGGAAAGTAATTCCAATTCTAATCAACATTCAATTTTCTAAACGATCCTTCAATTCCAAATAAATCACTTTCAGTCTTCGGTTTTCCGATTCTTTTTGATTCATCAGATTTATATTTTGCATCTTCTTTAAACCATTCTGCATAGCTCTCAACTTTAGCCTTCCAATGATCAATTAAATCTTGAATTGGACCAGCATCTCCACCGTATTCAGTTGGTAAAATCGATTTTGGGATGTGTTTATAAATTTCATCCATGTTGGTTACTTTATGAATAACAAACTAAAAGGATAAACAATGTTTAAGAAAAGTATTTATAAAACGTTTAAAGATCATTACCCTCTTCATCATTTTTTCTTTGAAAAATGGTTTCATCATATTATACATGGTATCAAAAAATGATGGTAAATTGATAAAGTGCATTGCTTTTGGTCTTTGTGGGTAAGCTCCATCGAAAAACATCATTGCTTTTTTTGTAAGTGATAAGTCCATGTGTACCATACTAGATGAACCAACTCCCGCCATATCTTGTAATGCAACCATGCCTCCAATAATGATTTGATCATCTTCATTCATCAAAATATCTGATATCATAATGTTAACTTTGAATATATCTTTCATTTTGTGCACAGCTGGATCTACATGTCTAAATAATATGATACGTGGGGCATCGGGACTTCCTACTTTAGTAAGTGGTAGGAACGGTCTGAAAGAAGTAATGTATAGAAGTAATATAAAATAATAAAAAAAAGAAATATTACCCCAGTTTTAATATTGCTTGAATTTCGGGTGATAAAGGATCCCTATTTTCAAAAAATTCGCGAAGAATCGTTTTCATGGTATACAAATTTTCTAATTTCTTTTTAGCCTTTTCTAAACTAAACTTACAACCACGTAGAAAACTTAACAAAAATTGTTTATCTAAAATTAAATGATTTTTTAATACAACTAATTTTTATTATTATTGTTATTTTTTACCCATTCTCGGTGTTAAGTGACGTTGCTTTTCCAACCAATCTCTAAGGGCTTGAATATCATCATCGATTCTTTTTGGATCCTCATTAAGCTCGGCTATAGCTTTAGCTTGAAGCTCGGGACAAAGAGGTCGAACAGACATGTTCTATTAATGTCAGATGTATATCCACTTTGAGAGGAATTGGGAGGAATGACTTTTCAATATAGTGTGATAAATTTAATTCTAGTATTGATAAGATAAAATATCAGTTGATAAATTTAACTTTAAATTAAAAAAAAAAGTTATCTACATCCAATTTTCTAAACAATCTCTTAATTCTAAATCATTCACTTTCAGTTTCTGTTTTTCCAATTTTCTTGGATTTATCAGATTTATATTGTGAATCTTCTTCAATTCATTTAGTACAACAAGTATCTTGCAAATATCTATTTTATATTAAATTGAAGTACCATTTCCTCTGTGTTGATTTTATAAAATTGCTTTTGGAATGTGTTTGTAAATTTCATCCATATTGGTTGAAGTTGCATATTGGTCATTTTTTAATTTATCGAATTTATTCGTGCAACTCCGCATATCTTATACCTTTGCCATATACTTCAAGTGGTCCAATGAACTCACCACATCAACGGTGATCTGTGCCAAGATGCAACCCAAAACTTTTCTAAATCTCTAAATGCTTCTGCGGTTTGTTTTCAACTCACTCTCACTCACTAGTTAACCACGTCGGGGGTGCAAGATTTGGGGTAGTAATAGTGGTCTCTCTACCACGATGATGATATTTATTTATCATTGGGCCTTTCACTATATTTACAATATATACAGGTGTTCCAAAACTACCTATATGTACAAAGTTGCTTTCTTTAGCTACTATTACACTACAAATTTGAGCAAAAATTATGCATAAATCAATCAAATCAACTTCAAAATTATTTCATTGCTGTATCATTACTTGTTTGGTAGACTTAGATATTCAAAGAATCCTAAATCAAAAACTCACACAGTTATAAAGCTGGCAATCGTAGTGGCAAATAAATTGTTGCGTTTGCTTCTTTTCTAATCTGTTAAAAGTTGTCTTATATTACTGGTGAAATAGGCTGGTGTAGCACCGTTTATAAAAATAAAGTTTTGAGCTGAATTTATAAGCACATTTTCTAATTATTCTTATAGATTTTGATTCAAAAAATTGAATCATTGTTAATCATTGCTTAAGACGTTTCACTATTAAAGGTGTATCAGTGATATCAATCCAAACATTGATTGGAAATGTCTGCTTATTAGTGCCTGAGGATTTTTATTTGAATAAATGTGTTGATTATGGAAATTTGTTGCATCCCGTCATGTTAAAGATGATGAGTAAACAATGTTCTGTTGTAAAATAAACGGTTCTGCACCGCAAGTGAAGAAAATTTCAAAAAACTGTAAAATTCGATGAGGGTCCAAAAGTAATAGGTTTTGTACATGTTGGATGTGATATTGATGGAGGAGTTGTCCTATAATAATCCTGTTGGTAGTACTTCTAGGTTTCTTCGAGACCGATTTCTTTATATTCTGCTCTTTATGGTATACGGAATCGACAAGTATTAGTTTGTATTGGATTTAAAGTTATTTCTCTTAAACATCTTTCAATGTTGGCAATTACATACTTCACAAAACACAACACAAATTTGCCTTTGAAAATACATGAGGCCAAGAGGATCTCAGGCTGTAATCGAGGATCGATTACATTGTTACCAACAAATAGAATTCTAGATGTCAGAATGCTGAAATAAGAAAATGTTGCAACAAACCATAATCAGCAACACTGGTAAAAATAATATGCAAAATACAACATATAAGAAAACACTTGGAAGTAGCTCAATGTAGAATCGCTCACGGATCCATCCACAAAAACCTTATACCAGCAGAAACTTAGAAAAAAACATCAGATTCAGAATAATGACAATATAATTTTTTTTTGTTTCACAGGGCTCAGGGGAGCGGCCTCTCTCGTCATCGCGACTTCTAAGATTTATTGTAACTTATGCCTTCCAAAGGTTAAGGGCAGATCTAGGTCCTAGATATACCTTGGTAGTGCTTCAATGTCTTATTCCTCTATGTTAATAGGTGTCAGACCACCTTTCAAAAAACTTTGTGTTTTAGGTGACCTCTAAAGACGTAGTCAAATACAATATGTTCAGCAACCTCTGATTTATAATAAAGTTAATAAATTTGATCCTCAGCTTGTCTAATGTTGAAGGGATAGTAATTTAGGGACGTGTGGCCGAACAGGAAACCTGATAGCATCTCCCCTTTGCTGAGGCGTAAATCGTCTCGTGGCCGTCTGTCTCAGTCTGTTTGTGTATTGGAAGTTCTTTCCAGTGTAATATAGATACAACTTAAATATACAATTAGATACAATTAAAATGTAACATCATATCTGCGGCTAAGGTTATCGTAGGAAGTAGGTGTATAAACAAAGGCAGCAAGTTAAACATAAAACTATATTTCACGCCAGAGATTAGAGAATTAGCAAATGAAAAATAATAAACATATCTACAGTACAGATCTCAGTCGATAATATCCGAGGAATATTAACAGTTTAGGTAAATTGAATAAAAACCAGTTTTTATTTTATTTTACTGTTGATCGATGTTTTTATTAATATTTTTACCTTGACATGTTTCGGCCTGACTAGGCCATCATCAGAAGGTTTCTAAAAAAACAACAAATTTCGAATTATAAACAATTTTACATTTTAAAAAGTGAGGCTAAGTGTATTTCTTCTAAATGACAAACTTATTTATTACTTACAACGTCAATATAATTTTAGATGAATTATTATCATTATTCTGGAGCAATTATCGTGCTATTCATACACCGATTACAATTCAACATTAACTAACAAAAAAAACATTAAGTGAACGTTGTTCTTTTATTGGGACAGGAAAACTCACAAAGTTGTTAAGTTTTTCAGATATTGTTTTATTTTATAGTTTTTGATCATGTTGTCTATGTGTTGTGATGGGTATCCATTGTTGTTTGCGATGTTTTTTATTATTTTAGTTTCCCTATTCAAGTTTTCCTCATTGAGATGTGTTGAGAATGTTCTGTGAATGTATGTATGGAAAGCTGCGTTCTTATGTGTATGGTGGTGGAAAAAGTCGGCCTAGTCAGGCCGAAACATGTCAAGGTAAAAATTTTAATAATAACATCGGTCAACAGTAAAATAAAGTAAAAACTGGTTTTTATTCAATTTACCTAAAATTTTGATATCGATGAAAATGGATCCATATAATAACATTAACAGTTTAGTTTATAAGTTAGTGCTTTTTCTGAAAAAAAAAAAGAAAAACGGTTATAATTTTAACTATATTTTAACTCTGCAAGAAAATCTGGTGATGTAGTTATCATGAGTGAGATGGTTTCCAATCTTATCAATTGCTTAGAACAAATAGTGTTTAAGATATATGGAAAAATGTGTTAAAATTTCCTAATTTTGATGGCCTATATCTTTGAAATTTGAAGACTTTTACTAATTTTTTTTTACATGAATCGTCGTCATTTTTACTCTAGTATATGTGGGTAAATTTGTTCGCCGAGTCACCGAAACACTCTGTATACAGAATAAGTCAATAGTCCGGGGGCGAAAGATCTCGTCCAAATAAAAAAAAATGTTTTTATGTCATCATATATTACCATTATTACCATTAAAATTCGTTATCAGCATTATTATTAAATATTGAAGATTCTAATTTGGCATGTCAATAACCAAAACTTGGGTCTTTCAAACACCGCTAATACTATTCGATGTTATTATACAGGCTGTTTACCAGAAGCGATTAATTTATGCAATGTTTGGAGAACCATAACTTTGTTATTTTAAATGGAACATCTTGTATTTCTCTAAGGTTTTGAAAGGGTTTATCACCTCTCATTTTTGTTAAGCATAAGGTATATCAAATACGTGTACTTTTTGAGATAATTCAAATTAAAAATTAAAAATGATTAAAAATGTCGTCATAAACATGAAAGCTTGTTGTACATTGCCGTAGCTGCCGAGAAAGTCCGCGATTTGGCAGGTATTTTCTAATATATTCGAGATTCTACGCTCTGCCGAAGAAATACCTGTTCAGTGCAGGTGATCAAAATTTCGAATACTTTTTTTAAAGTTTGTTTTGTTGCGTTCTGATCTGTATTTATTTATACATTGTATTTACTTTTTGTATCCGCTTTGTTGTTTTGTATCTACTTTGTGTTTTCTATATATTTTTTTGCTTCCTTCTATTCACTCGAACAAATTGCAAACACAACAACCCCTTATTGTTGTATCGTTTCTAAGTGATTGTGTACATCTCTGTGTGTTTTCTAATAAGCGTTTTATTGTTTTTAGATTTATAATTTTTTCCCTTTACTAATATAATACAATATAATATATATATACCTTCAAATCCTCTACCCTCCTCCCCCTCCACACCTTCGTGTAAGTGTTTTCTATGTCACTCATTTTAAGGATTGTGATTATTGTCAGTTAAACTTTATCCCCAAATTGCATTTACATAGTGCTTCCGAGAAAGTAAATCTAACCTTTTTCATGTATTTAGAGGAACTTACCTCCTTAGGAGCAGCAATTTCACATGTCGTTCACGAAAATTTATAATGAGAATCATCATTCACTAACTTGGAAGATAAAACATTGCAGCTCGAGATTGTACACATTTGCACCGTATTTCCAATTTTTGCATATTGAAAAATAATAAAATTAGTGATACCTAACTCAAAGATATAAATTATTGACTTATTCTAAGAAGAAACGATTTTTCAGCATACTATGACATTTATAATCTTTGATTAGATTGAAAATCAATTAAAAACTTTTAGTTTTATTAAAAAAAATTAATCTACATCCAATTTTCTAAACGATCCTTCAATTCCAAATAAGTCACTTTCAGTTTTTGGTTTTCCAATTCTCTTTGATTCATCAGATTTATATTTTGCATCTTCTTTAAACCATTCAGCATAACTGTCAACTTTGATTTTCCAATAATCTATCAAGTCTTGAATTGGGCCACCATCCCCTCCATATTCATTCGGCAGAATTGATTTTGGAATGTGTTTGAAAATTTCATCCATGTTGGTTGTTTTATGAATAACAAACTAAAAGAATACCATGCAATTAATAAAAAATAAGAGTGGCTAAGTATTTAAAAACACAAACTCTCTTGAGCATTTCTTCTTTCATGAAGGGTTTGATCATACTGAACGCTGATTCAAAGATTGAAGGTAAATTGATGAAATGCATAACTTGCGGTCGTTGTGGGTAAGCTCCTTCGAAAAATGTCATAACTTTTTTAGTCAGTGGTAAATCTGCATGAATCATATCGGCTGCACTAAATCCTGACATATCTTGTAAAAATACCGCACCAGCTATAAGACTTTGATCGTCCTCGTTTATTAAGATATCTGACATCATTCCGTGAACTTTACACACATCTTTACCTTTATGAATGACGGGATCTGCATGTCTCACTATGATAACACGTGGAGAATCTGCACTTTCAGTTTTAATAAGGGGAAGAAAAATTCTATGCAATGAAAAATAATAATTAATTAGTTAGTGTTACAAAAAAAGCTAGATTTACCCTAATTTTAAAAGTTCTTGGATTTCAGGTGAGAATGGATCCCTAACAGCAAATAATTCTTTAAGCATAGTTTTCATGGTATATAAATTTTCTAATTTCCTTTTAGCTTTTTCCAAACTGAACTTACAGCCTCTCAGAAAACTTAATAAAAATTGTTTTTCTAGAAATATTTTATTTTTTAAAACGTGTCTGCTTTCACAGTTTAAAACTTACCCATTTTTGGTGTTAAGTGAGGTTGCTTTTCCAACCACTCACGAAGTGCTTGGATATCATCATCGATTCTTTTAGGATCTTCATTAAGATCAGCAATAGCTTTAGCTTGAAGTTCTCGAGAAAGAGGTCGAACAGACATTTTTGTTTAGACGCAAAATTCTCTTTAAAAAGTAATACCATGAAATGACATTTTAATACTCTGATAAAACTTATCTGATAAAAATATTTATTATTAAGTTAATATCCATTTGGATTATAAATGTTGATGATGTAAAAACTAAAAAAAGAATTGATTGAAAAGAAGTGAAATATGTCATGGCAACTTATAAGTAACAAAGAGAATAAAGTCTTTCTTGCTTTAACAGTATTGTAAAGTATTGTCGCAAATATAGATTAGTAATTCTTTTCGGAAACAATCTAAACTATTGAAGGGTAAATATAGTTTGGCTAATATGACCAAACTAAATGATAATACACTAAACGATATGTGCTACGATAAAAAAGAATCTATTTTCTGAAGGTGCAATTACCAGAAGAGGAATAACATTTATTAGATAAGGATAGACTATAGAACAAGTCAAAACATTTATCTATCTGGGAGTAATTATCTCTATCAATACAAATGTCATAAACAAAGTGCGCTAAGAAGTTTCACTAAAAGTGAAATTCTTGNTTAGATAAGGATAGACTATAGAACAAGTCAAAACATTTATCTATCTGGCAGTAATTATCTCTAGCAATACTAATGTCATAAACGAAGTGCGCGAAGAAGTTTCACTAAAAGTGAAATTCTTGGTTATAAAACAGCAGTACGTCCTATCATGACATAAGAGGCTTGACAAGGGCAACCACAAGCAAGACGAAGCAAATTTTTAGAACGAATTTTGAGATGCGAACGCTAAGGTCGATAATGGGGGTCACGCATCAGAACAGAATAAGAAGTGACGAAATACTGCGGATATGGGAGAACAAGATGTCGTTCGGTATACGCGACGAAGACGACGTATATGGAATGCGTATGTCGATAGGATGGGCGAGAACAGAAAGTACGCCAAAGTAAGGAGGCCGCATAGTAAATGATCACCGGGAAAACACCCCGAACTTCATAGATATCGATATCACAAAAACAGAACGAAAAGAAATAGTCGGATAGAACAGGGGAAATCTATCATTCGAAAGTTATATTCTGGAAGTCGTAGAGTCTGTTTAATATGAGATTGGTGTGAGTTGTAACTTTTTGACTCGTAGTGTTTATTATATTTTACATATACCATATACCGTTGGTATTTAGTTCCCCCCGCATTACTACCAGCACCCCGTGGGTATCATGAATACAACCAAAGCGTCATACCATTCCCGCAAACTATCATACAAATTCGTAATGAACGGCACTAAAGGACCAACGATACCCCTCACTCATATACTAAAGACCTACCAATCTGTTCTAACAATAAGACCTAGTCAACATTACTGCTGAATTTAAGAAGACTGATAAATTTACTTACGCTACGTGCCCAGGACATACACATGGCATTCGTAATTTGAAACGCCAACAGTTCACAGCACCACAATGGGGATTAATAGAATTCGCGCAGAGACACCAAACAAATGTAATTCTCATCAGCCACCTATCTGCGGCCATCCAATGCACTGATCTGATAAACCATAGGCATCCGTAATACACTTAACCAACGGTATTCCTGATGTCCTCGAGACCGTGACGATACCCTCTCAACATTAAATCATCCCTTATCTGATATCGTATCACAAGTAAGTTCTTCTATAGCTGGGTGTATTCACGGAAGACGCGTCGCTTTTTTGAAAGGTCGTCTGTTGGCCTTCGTCGAGAATCTTGCCAAAATAAGCTGGAACTAATCTGATTGCAACCATATCTAATTCAAATTAGCTTTAAACGCTACGTGATATGTCACCTTACGTGATATGTCACTAGACTGGATATCTATCCGGAGCTGAGACATACACCGGATAATAGTCGATGATGAAGAGACAATGTAGAATATTCCAGATTCCATACGAAATTGTTAACTGTCTGGACAATGGTCTTATGAATTCCAGAGAATTGGTACCAATGATACAATGAAGGAAATATTAAAATTCATTAGGCTGATGACTAAACAGGTGAGTTGATTATTACTTAAATGTGGGGTACCACTTGTTAAAATTTAACTGTAAATGATTGCTTGTTTAGGATCTCTGTCCTGTTAGTGGTAAAGGCCGATGGTGGGTGAGGTCTCAATCTCCATATGTAATAAATAAAAGGAATGTGTTGGTTTTTCTCCCGTTAGTGGTACAATCAAGGTGATGGTTATGGTTTCACCATGTTGTCTTTATGGCTTGTTTTGTGACGATGTTCTTTAGATCCCCATATCCATAGATTTGTATTCCGAGAATACAAATCAGAGAGATTCGTGGGTGATTTTGTGATGACCATGTTTTTCGTTTTATTGGTCGCGATCGTCATGTTTACTTCACCACATGCTTCGTTGAAAGCGTTTAGAAGCCGTTATAGTCCATTCTCAGATTCTGCGATGATGATGTCGTCTGCAAAGCACACAATCTTTATTGTTGTTCGTTCCAGTGTGTATCCATCGTTTACTCCATATAGGTCCTTTATTATAGTGTCCATTAGAATGTTAAACACTTGTGGACTGAGGTTGTCACCCTGTCGGATTCTGGCTTTGATGTTGATTTCTGGTTCTTCCCAGTTCAGGTTCTTAGTTTTGTGTTGTTATCTGTGTTCAGATATTTCGATGATGTTCGGGTGTATATTTTTTGCAACGAGGACTCTCAGCACGTCGGAGAACATGACTCCTTCGAATGCCTTTTCGAGATCCACGAAATAAATATATGCTTGTTTATTGAATCCAGTGCCTTTTTGGCGATTTGATCGACTACGAAAATGACGTCTTTTTTGGACCGGTTCTTCCGGAACACTTGTTGTTCCTCTCGCCCGGGTACTGGTTTGGTGATATTGTTATGTGAAAAGAGAAGTTATGTGAAAACCTTCATGGTGGTATCCAATAGCTATATATAATACTTTGCTTCCAATCCTTTGGCACTTGCGTGGACGTGAGGATATTGTTAAATAGTTTTCTTAGTTGATCAGTTAGCGGTTTCCCTCCATGTTTTAAGAGTTCATTTCTGATGTTGTTTGGACCTGGCGTTTTCCCGATTTTGCTTTTCGTCATTGCTTCTGCCACCTCCTCCGTCGTTATGTAGTATAGTGTCTTCTTGTGTTCAAACCCTTGTATTCTCAACTTACAAAATTTATAGGATATAAATATGTTTCAACATATCCTCTTAAATCATATAAGGCATTTACAGGAATTTTACACCAAATTCATCTATGGAATGACACATAAACTAAGAAAATAAGTGTTCTCAGCTCACAAGATTTATATTTATACTTCAGGATCATGGTTATTATGATTTTTAATGAATGGGTGCGATATTAATAAACATTTAGTGTAATGAACACATACAGTATTGTACAATTTCTGGGACAATTTTCACATCACCATAAACTAATTACAGAAAATTCTTACGATAATAAATTTAAGCAGTCTGTGGTAAGGTGTATAATTACATGGTACTATATTAAACGGTATTTCACTTAATCCGCACGTTTGGCCGATATAAAACAATAAACTGGCGCAGTTAATTAGCACTCGACATTAGAAAGTTGAGTATTTATTGCGCTTAACATATTAGTCGATGTTGGACACGCAAGTTGCGTTTTGCGTTTTTAGCAATTAAACTCATTTGAATATTTGGACTTACGCGATCTTATCTCGCCTTATATTATCTAATACGCGAGATTCGTTTTCAAAGTCGTACATTGCTGCAGACACCTCTATTTGAAAAGGCGAGCGTTCATTTCTATGTGGCAAAAAGGAAGACATCGGCGATATAGTTACACCCACGATGACAATTAATAGAGATGGTGGCTGTGGTTGAGATGTTATCGTGCAAGTTGTAAAACGGATTGGACATGAACCAGATACATATCGATGGGAACACGGCAACGTACCGTATACGTTCGTTATCTACGACACAACGTTCTTTTATTAGTATTTGAAACGCAATCTAAAGAAGTTAAATCTATTTTAAATAATTTAACAATGACCATTAAAAATGTGCTTAATTGAAGTTGAATTGATAATCAGAGTTTAGAATTTTAAATTCAGAAGATATTTCTATTTGTGACAGTTTTATTTAAAATATAGAAACGTATAGGAAAAGATACATATTATAGATAGTAGTAATCTAAGGAAATATAAACCACGAGACAGTATTTACCTTATATCTAATGGCATCGAGATAAACGAAAACCCAATACCACGTACGGTAAATTACAGACTAAGCACCGTATCCGCATAATGCAATGGTAAGCAAATACGCCGCGGAATGGTTTATTATAATGGGTTTTATTAAAGGCGAGAAATGTCTCTCGCCGGTTATTTGTAAACGCTATTACGACGGCGTTCCTCATTATAACACAAAGTGGCTTCGTTAGGTCGGCAGCAGCCCGAAGAAACCGCGCTTAGTTCTTGGTGAGGCTCGCGCGACAACAACAACAACAGCAACGGGGTCCCCAGAACAACCGGTAATCTAAATTCTATTTATTCGCGGCAATTTATCTCTCTTCAAAGCGAGAGATATACGGCCACGGTCGTAATAAGAATTCTCTCTTTCACTCTGGTGCTATGCCTCCTGGTCCGCCTACGATCTAATTGAACGACTTTCTACCGAGGCAGAGGCGATACCCGGTAATTAGTTCTCTTTGCCGTACGACCCATATCTGTTTCACCAACGACGACGATTGTTATAAATTAAATGTACAAAGAATTTTTTTTGCTTTTCACAATTTCGTTCCGATAGATAACTAACTTATTGCTTTCTCGCGTTGCTGATATATTAATGTTTGTACAAAATGAATTGTTGATCACAATCATACCAAGAAAAGTAGGTGTTAACTTACTCTTTATTTGTATGCGTTGTGATTATTTGTTGTGGCATAGAAAACATATTAGAAAGCGAGAATTCTAAAACTAATCTCATAATCAGTTTTATATTAAATTTGTATTAACGTTTAATATTTAAATTATATCAACATGA